TTGTGTGGGGCACAGAGGAACATATTAAACACCATCATGGGGGTTTAAATGAGCAAAATCCAGGCAGGACAAATGGTAGATTTGGGATTTTTTACCTCCAAGTAGGTGGTAAGAAAAAAAGGGAAATGTATAGATTGAGACTAGTGTCATAATCAACCAAGTATAATGTGTGGACCTTCCTTGGATACTGATTGAAGAAACAATTGTAAAAACAATTTTTTTTTTTTTTATAAATTGTGGCTGTTTGAACACTGACTAGATTTTTAGTGTGAAGTTTTGGTCATCTTTAAGGACTGATATTAGTATTTTGTCTACTTAGTGTTGTTTTAAGAGATACTAAATACTTAGAAATAAAAGGCATGAGAGCCCTAGCTGGTTTGGCTCAATGGATGGAGCATCGGCCTGCAGACTGAGGGGGTCCCAGGTTAGATTCCGGCCAAGGGCACATGCCTGGGTTGTGGGCTCGATCCCCAGTGTGGGGCGTGCAGGAGGCAGCCAATCAATGATTCTCTCTCATCATTGATGTTTCTGTCTCTCTCTCCCTTTCCCTTCCTCTCTAAAATCAATAAAATGTATTTTTTAAAAAAGGCATGAGAACGACAAGTTGGGGGTGATGGTTACATTCTGGGAGGCAGTAGCATGGGTAACTTCAGCTGTCTTACTCTATTTGGTGAGGTGGGTTCAAAGATGTTTTATGCTTTGTGATATAAGAAATATACAACATAGTAAACAATTATGATAGAGGATGCAGTGGATAAAATCCAGAATGAATAATTGTACAGGATTTATGACCTGGACCACCAAATAAATGGCATGAGAGCAGTGAAGGGAAACTCTTGTATCAAATAGACCTAAAGAACAGAAAGAAAAAAAAAAAAGTAGACCTAAAGAGACATCAGCTCTACACGTGTGCCTCTTGGCGGGATCTTGACATGAACAAACCAACTGTAAAAAGATAGTTATAGGCAGTTTGAAGTAAACAGAATGGGTATCTGGTATCAAGGAATTTTCATTACTTTTGAGGAGCAACAATGGTGTTGTAGTGAAGTTTAAACCCAAAAGGTCCTTGTTTTTTATAGCTGTTTACTGGTGTACTTCAGCATGGCCGTGGGACTTGCTGGTACAGGTGTAAGCATACTAACGAAGATCCGGTGACCATACTTGATCATGGAAGTTGGTATGGGCATAGGGTGGTCGGTTTGATTAGCTTGTCGAGTGTGGTGTCACTGTGAAAATTGCTCTGAAGTTAACTTAAACCAGTTCACTGATGACTACAGCTCTTGAAGACGCCCTTTGGAGCCTACATGAGCTTTTCTGTTGGCTCGTTATCCTGTAATTTAAATTGCTTTTAATAAATAACTAGTATTGAATTTTCATGGTAACTAATATTTCAAGCCCACATGTTAAACAAACTTTACCTACTTTTCTCTCTGGGGGAAAACCCTTAAATTCTATATGGTTAACTTATAAATAGATTGTGTTGGGGTTCTTTTTTAAAATAACACAGTAATTAAATACCTTTTTATGATTTTTGCTCTCAGACTTAAGTGTGGTAGTTCTCGCCCCCCTTGTAATTTTTAATTTTAATTTTTTAAAATTGATTTTAGAGCAAGAGGCAGGGAGGAAGAGAGAGTGAGAGAGAAGGAGATAGAGATAGAGAGAGAGAGAGAGAGATAGAGAGAGAGAGAGAAAGAAACACCGATGTTAGAGAGAAACATAGATCTGTTGCCTCCTGCACGCACCTTGACTAAGGATTGGGCATGTGCCCCGACCTGGAATCGACCTGGCAAGCCAAGCCCTCAGTGCCCTGAGGTCGCTCACCCAACCAAGTCACACTGGCCAGGGCACTCCCCTTATATTTTTAAGGAAATCATTGGAAATGTTAGTTGTTTCTGGATGGCGGATCTGTGAGTCCTGTTTTCTTTTCCTTCTGTATATTATAACACAATTTAATATAATTACTGAGTGAGTGCCTCCCAGGTGCCAAGCACTGCTCTAGGCTCTGAATACAGCCCAACACCCTGCTCTTACGGAGTGTGTGTGCTATTTCTACTACGTTGGTGTGTAGAACTTAATTTTGATGATAGTTAAATTGAACTTCAGTGCTTTGGTCACCATAGAATAGAAACAAATGCCAATATCAATTCTACCAACTCTTAAGTATTTGGAATCAAACCTAGATAAAACAACTCTAAAAGCTCACATGGGAAGCAGATGATAATGTTTTTAAAATATATATATTTGTATTGATTTCAGAGAAAAAGGGAGAATGAGAGAGGAATAGAAACATTAATGCTGAGAGAGAATCATTGATAGGCTGCCTCCTGCATGCCCCCCACCCCCACCCACTGGGGATCAAGCCTGAAACCTGGGTACGTGCCCTGATTGGGAATCGAACTGGTGACCTCCAGGTGCACGGGTTGATGCTGGATGTACATTTTGAAGATTGCATTGGGAAACATGGTTAATGATATACACAACGTAGTATTCTATATAAAGGTTTATTGGGAGTCCTGTGAAGTGAATACTTGTTCTTATAATATGAATAATTACCTGCTAGTTGACCAGAACTCTGTATGTACATTTACATGTGTACTTTTGGAAAAAAGTTTTGGTAGTATATACCAGAAGAATGAGTCCAATGGTAATAAATGCTTAGTTTCTCAAGATTGTGCTGCTAATTCTTACTGGGTCAGATGTTTGATTAAACAGATTAGTATTTGCATATCTGTAGTAATTCTTCCTTCCTTGGTTACCCAGGGTAAATATTTATACAATGTGAGTAACTTTTCTGCTAACTAAAGCAATATATAGCAGTTTTGAAATCTGTGTATTAAGGCTTTTGTAGAAAATATAAAACCTTATACAAAAACAAAGCTATAGTACACATCCTGCAGCTTTTACTATGATTAGCAGATGAGTTTTTTAAAAAAAAGGCAAATCTCACACTAGCATGTCATATGTAAATTGAGATTGGGTGGTGGTTAAAATCTTTTTTTCTCTTCTTAAATTGACACTCTCACTATCTCTTTGGTATATTGCTCCTGGTGACTGCACTTTGTTTTATTGTCTCAAAAATAATGTAAGAATGCGTCTTACTATCCACTTTATGATTACAAACAGAATATACAGTGGGGCCTTGACTTACGAGTTTAATTTGTTCCGTGACGGAGCTCGTAACTCAAATTACTTGTATGTCAAATCAATTTTCACCATTACAATGAATTGAAATGCCATTAATCCATTCAGGACACCCAAAAAACGAAGTTTTGTAAAATAACTGCAAGCACAAATGCGAGCACAACACTGATGCTTCAACTAAGAGCTAACTGCTTAAAGTGAACGAGTGAGACACGTGATGCTGGGCTGATGTTGTGGCGTTCGCTGCGCCAACTAGCGGTGGGGTATCTGAAGCTGGCTCGTAACCCGAATTTTAGCTCGCAACTCAAAGCAAAAAATCGGCCGAGAGACGGCTCGTATCTCGAAAAACTCGTTAGTCGGGACACTCGTAAGTCAAGGCCCCACTGTACATATTCTTTAGGGTTTCCTAAGGGATAGGCGGTACCTCTGGCAGCATTTGTTCTCATGCTTTGGGGGAAGTAGAAGGGACAAAAGACTAGGCTATGACTCTTGTCTAATCTGGTGTTTTACTGTGGTACTTCAAAATAAGTGGATTATTTGACCTGGAAAGGAAAACTAAGATGTTTCTAATTCTAGAAGTTAAGTAATTTATTTCACGTGAGATGTCAAACCTAACTGCTAGTCTATTTTTTTTTAAATATATTTTTATTGATTTCTGAGAGGAAGGAGAGGGAGAGAGACATAGATGAGAGAGAATCACTGATTGGCTGCCTCTTGCACGACTCCCTATCCCCATCCCCATCCCCATCAAGCCCGCTACCGACGGATGTGCCCTGAACCTCCTGGTTCATAGGTCCATGCTCAACCACGGAGCTACGCCGGCTGGGTTTTTTTTTTTTTTTTTTAAATAAAAATAGCTATGATTGGTGTCTGGCATCTGTGCTAAAATCTCATATGATTATTGTCCCTCTCCTCCTCTTCCTCTCTCTGACAGTGTTGAAAAAAGAATGTGGGTTTGTGTGTAATAGATATTATTATACGTAGTATACTATATATGCATGTTTACATATGTGGGCATTGAACTAAGGTGGGGTTTGTTTGTTTTTTAATGTTTTTCTACCATGGACTCCTTTGGTAGCCTGAAATGTATGGACCTCTTAGGATGTTTTTAAATGCATAAAATAAAATACATAGGATTATGAGGAAATAGATTACTTTGAAATACAGTTAGCAAAATGTTAAAACTCATAGTAACATGTGCTCCTTAACATAAGTAACAAGTTCTAGCAACACATCTAAATTTCACAGTAATGAGTGTAGATGATATTTAAAGATCTGCAACAACTTACTGTAATATATAAAGAACGGATTTATGTTGATGTCAAATTACAAGCAGTGTACTTCTACTGTGGTTTAATGCTATCATTTATGATTGAAAAGAGGCGCTAAATTTCAGGGGATAGTGAAAATAAATATATAGCCACCCTCCACCGCTCATCCATGTTCCCCGAATTCTGTCTTTTAATTGCACCCCTTGGCTGCAATCTCACATTAAGAACATTCTGCTCTAAGGCTTTGCGACCTGCAATGCTTAATTTGAGGCTGAAGGGTTTAAACTTAGAATATAGTCGTCAGATGAAATGTGTTTCAAACATTGTCTCTGCCAGTTTTAGAGGCTTTAAAAATGAGCCCTAACAATCTAATGCGCTGGATCTCCAAATGGTCTCGGTGTGCCCCCCGTGACCAACTTTGTCTCCTTTTTCCTTCTTGGGCTGCATTTTCTTACTATATATGGGTTTTTAGTTAATAAAGAATTAATAATTTAAGTCATTTTTAAACACCCATGTTGGCTATTAATGTCTTTTGCTTTTATATGTGTTCTTCTTTTTAAAAAAAAAATTTTTTTAATTCTTCTGCAGGATTCGGAAACTTCAGATACGAAATATCCCGCCTCACTTACAGTGGGAGGTAAGAATTTCTATATTTAAAATTAAGATTTCAATATCTAAGCCCGTTGTTGGTTTTTCCAAAGGTTTTTCTCCTTCCCCCACCTCTTGTGCTAGAACACACAGTTTTTCTCTCTTACGGTTTGTGTCTTGTTGTGTGGGCTTTTCTTCTGTATCTTTTAAAAATTGCTCTTTGAGATACTTATAAAAAAGTTGAAATAGCGTCTTGGGTAATCCCCTTCATTCAGTCTCATCCCAACGGAATCTTTTTATTTGAGGTCTTTCTGATGAGTTTGCCAATTGTACGTATTTAAATATGAAGTTCCCTCCTTGGCAAATTTGTTTTAAAAGAAAAATACCTGCTACTGAGGCTTTACTTTAAAATGTTACTCTGCTTTCTTTTGCTCAGATGGTGGCACTGTAGTGGCCGGGCATAACACAAACTAAATATTTAGCACAATTGATTTGTCTGTGTCAGCAATTTTCAAAGCATAAGAATGATGTTATGGTGAGAATTTGAAATACCAGTGGTTGAAGAGATAAAAGAAAATATCTGTTGACTCTTCCAGATGATGGAACCTGAAAGTTCTTAAAACCTAACTTGGAGAGGCAGTGTAAGGGAAGTTGCTTAGCTCTTGTGTATTTTTAATATAAAAATCAAGAGTAAACTAGCTTTGTAAGTTTCATGTTTGTCTTCTAAAATGACAGTTGATGAGTCACTAAACTAGAACCTTCATCAAAATGCAAAGTATGGTTAAAAGGTTTCTTTGGTGGTGAGTTGAGGGAAGTTGGTCAGAAGTCTGATTTTCCAGGGTCCCGATTGGTAACAACTCATTTATGCTCAGAATATTTTATACAGCATTTATACCCAGAACAATATTATTCATTGAGTTTAATCTTTATAGGAGGAGTTAGTTCTTTGGTATATGCATGAGTGTTTTTCAAGTTATATAATGCATAAAAAGTATACTTTTGTAGATGGAAACAGTATAAATAAGGTTAAGCTCAATGCATTTTCCTGTTTTAGATGAACACTTATTTGAGGAATTGAATAGCTTGGAGGATGTGTCCCCAAATCAAGTGTTGTGGTTTGATTGCTTTGTTTCAATATGATCCATGTTAAATATGATTTTTCTGCTTGTGTATTGTAGCTTTCAATGAAATAGTCAAATTGTTGCAGCCAATTTTAAGCAAGTGAATTATTAGTATAGTAGTATATCGGATACAGGCAAGTGGCAATTTCGTTTTAATTCTTTCATAGTATCTGTTCAAATTTAGATTGCAGTAGCTTCTCAAGCATTTAGTTTATTGTACTTTTGGTGGTTTTTCAAGCTTGTAGTTTACTAAATTCTTATTTTGGATAAAATTTAACCTCATTCATGAGACTAAATCTTTATTTGCCATATTTAACTTTTTAATATTTTTTATTTATTGATTTTGAGAGAGAAACACACACATATTGATTTGTTGTTCCACTTATTTATGCATTCATTGGTTGATTCTTGTATATGTCCTGACTTGGGATTGAACCCACAACCTTGGCCTGTTGAGATGACGCTGAGCTACCTGGTCAGGGCTGCCATATCTGACTTTTATATTTTATTTTACTTTCATCCATAGTTCTTTAAGGCAGCGGTCGCCAACCGGTGGCCCGTGGACCACTGGTGGTCCGTGAGGACTGAAAGGTTGGCGACCGCTGCTTTAGGTATGGTCAAGTTGGTGACATTTCCATTTTCAGATGGGCAAATAAGGGCACACAAATAACTGAGTAAGAACACATACTGAATGGTAAAAAGTTTGGAACTAGACTTTGAAACTCTTGACTTTTACCTCTTTAAAATTTTTAAGTGATTGTTTGAAATATTGATCAACAACAAAATTTACTGAGGGGTTGCCCTGGCTGGCACCACTCAATGGTTAAAGCATAGGCATGTGCAGGGATCTAGATTGTAGGTTCAATCCCAGTCCCGGTGTGTAGGCGGGTGTTTGGTAGGCAACCAATCCATGTGTTTTTATCACATCAATGTTTCTCTCTCTCTCCCCCCTGCCCCCCGCCTTCCTTCCACTCTCTCTCTAAAAAAAAAAAAAAAAATCTATGGAAAAAAATATCCTAGGGTAAGGATTAACCAAAAAAAAAAAAAAATTAATGTAGGATAAGGTGGTGTGAGGTTTCCTTTCCTTGAAGATGCGAATGAACACCATCTGTTATTTCCTTTTTGAGACGAGTCACTTTGTATGACTTTTACCTGTACACACTGAGGGTGCTGGCTGTTTCGTGCCAAGGCCTTATTTTCGACAGTGGTGGTTTTGCACTAATAGGTCCAGACTCCTTAATATTAGAGAATAGACTTCGAATCCACTGATTACTCTTAGAATCGCTGAAAGCAGAAAGACTATACATTATGTGCCTCCTGATTTGATGCAATAGGAACTACATAGACTCAGGTGTAATCCTCTAAAAAATAGAGGTTTGACTGGATTCACTTTCATCCTGACCGGGAATCGAACCGTGACCTCCTGGTTCTTAGGTTATCGCTCAACCACTGAGCCACATCGGGCTGGAAAGGACTTCTTTGAGGGAGCTTTTCCCTAATCTTACTATCTGAGTCCTGCTCTCTCATCCAAATAATCAAAATTCCTAGTAAGCACTCACAAATGTTGAAAGGGGCACCCTCTCTGAGAGACATGTGAGCGCCGTTAGTTACGTACATGAAGTGTCAGAGTGAAGGGCCAGCCAGCTCTCATGGTGGGGTCAGGCGGTCAAGGTCGGATGGTGTCTCTGGAGCGGTGACTGCGTGTCAAACAGTCCGAGCCGCGGAGCCCGTCATCGCATTGGGAGGCTCTGCAAGCTGGCAGGGCCCGGATGTGCTCATGCCTGGAGCCTCTACATTCTCTGAGGCAAAGATTTGACTGTGTGGTCTGACAAACGCTTATGAGGAGTACAAACTTCAGACTCACAATCCTGGTGGAAAGTTGAGAGTGTGTGTTGGCTTTACCTCGAGGCCTGGAGAGCCAGTTTCTCTGGAGAGGGGAGCTGGGAAGATGAGTGTCTTGGGAGGAGACTCCCGGAGGTTTCTGCATGTCGGACAGTTTCAGCCACGTGTGTGGTCTGGGGTGACTGACTACAGGAACGGAAGCTGCCTTCTGGGTTAAGCACAGGGGAGGAGGGGGGCGTAGGGGCGTTGGTTCTTCAGAACGAAAGCATCCTCCAGTTGCATCCAGGCTTCTGACATTCATGAGTTGGTCTCTGGTTCTTTTTTGTTGTTGTTATTAATCCTCACCCAAGGATATTTTCCCATTGATTTTTAGAGATAGTGGAAGAGACGGGGAGAGACTGAGAGAGAGAAGCATCTGTGTGAGAGAGACACATTGATAGGTTGCCTCCCACATCCATCCTGACCAGGGCTAGAGATTGAACCTGTAACCCAGGTACATCCCCTTGACTGGAATAGAACCTGGGACTTTAATCCAGGCGCCGGCGCTCTATCCACTGAGCCAACCCAGCTAGGGTGGTCTCTGGTTCTTGACGTGGAAGGCGAGTAACTAGTATACTAAAAATAAAACACCAAGGCTACAAGTTGGGAATTGCAGCATAAAATAGTGGTTTTTGTTTTTTGTTTTTCTCAGAGCAGAGTTACCTTAATGATTTCTTTTAAAGGTTTTTCTTGGTGCTTTTATGTGAGCTTGAAGCAGTTTTTGGAAGTAACTAGATCTTAAGGAAATCTTAAAAGGCTCTTCTTTTGTAAGGCCGAAGGATTGCCCTAACAGAACACTTCATTTAGGGGTTCGCCTGGTAGTTTGAGCCCTGCTCCTAGTAACCAGTTTGGCTTTCTAGGGTGTAGGGAATGTTCGAAAACCCTTGCCTTCCTTCATGATGACAGGAAGGTTATTCCTTTGTCGCTTGCTGGTGGGGAGGGTCACGTTAATGGTGAGAGGTGGTAGGGAGGAGCCCCAGAACCTCCCTGTCAGTTACATTCAGGTCTGGCATGTCCCGTCTTTGGAAGAAGGGCTAAAGCTTTAGAAAGATGCCCACATTTCAGAACATACTAAAGAGGCATTCAAATAAATAAGGTGGAAACCTCAGAAAATGGCTATTTTCTTGTGAGATGAGGCAAGTACTTATAATGGAGAAACGATATGATCTACATTACACTTAGAAGAAAGCTTAATGAGGGTAAGTTGTAGAGGTCAGAAATTTCCCAAAGATTAACAACAGCTTCTTAAAGCTGGTACATCTCAGTGAAGCCTATTATTTTCTTTCCATATGTGCTCTGAATATAGTAAGAGAGATCAATTATCAGGGAGCTCCCTGGCAGCACCAGGAAGTAGAAATAGCAGCATCATTAAGAGAGGCTTTGGCAGAAGGGAAACCAAGTGAGTTTTTATTTAGAAAGAAAGAAGGAAGGAAGCAAGAAGGTAGGATGCCATGCGATCTAGTCTGGGGGAAGACAAACAATAACAGAGTTAGTATAGAAGAGTCAAGGATTACCCTCCTAGTAACACGGGGTGAATGAACGTGTGCTGAGAATGAGAAGACTGTCTTGAACTTTAGGGAGAGGCGCAATGACTTCCAGTTCAAGAGATGTAGGCAAGGGCTGTGGAATCTGTTAGGTGAAGTCTTTCGTGGATGTCGACGTCTGTAAGGGAAGGAGCTGTCACATTTTCGTCTTCCCCATGCCGGTTCCTGTTGGACACTCTGGTCAGATGCTGTTTGGCCCAGGATGAGTATGTGAATTACTGCTGAACAGAAGTTGGGTGAGACCAGAGTGGTTGAGTATAAATGACAATGTAAAGCTAACAATACGAGGCACTTTAACTCGGCCCCACAGAAAAAGACATCGGTAGGGACAGCGGGATTGACATTAACCATGACCTGAACAAGAAGTCACCAGAGGCATTGATGTTGAATATTAGAAATAACCCATTTAAAGGTTGCCTTCTGCAATAGGACATCTTGGAGCTGGAAATAAAAGCAGTGGCTGATAAGTAGGGTGTTTTGGGTGGATGCTTTTCAAACTTTTT